CGATTGTTAGTGTACTTACCACTATTATGGCCATATATTGATATCCATAGTCCTCCTAGGAGCCGGTGCTAATAATAGTAACCCGCAAAATCTCGATTGTGGATATGGTGGGCATAACCGCTTCAGCCCCAAACATTTAAAAGGTCATGATTGTCCTCACAGTCGATGCTCTCGTGTCCTTCTTTTACTTCAATAACTTGCCAGTACAACACCATCACTAGCGAAGACAACCAATCATGGATCACAACCTATCACAGGTATCAAAGAGGTCCGATATCCCAGAAAAAGAACGTCACAATGGACGTACATATCAAACTAGTATCGTTATCTTAAATACCCTTCTCTAGAAATCCACCGACTAACAAATCTATTTCATGAAGGCATTAAATCAGCTGAAAACTTCCGTCAGGTCGTTAGCCAATTCATCCACGGGAATCGCGGTCACACAAGCAAGGTTTTACAGCCGCCTATTGACCAGTCCACTAGCTCTATAGCTACATAGGTAGTTACTTCCGTCGCTACCTCTCTTACTAGCCCAGGGGCCTCTACGTTATCTCCAAGCGTCATAAAGACTGAAAGCCAAGACCTACCCCCTCTAAACGCGAAAAAGAGAGCAGCCGAATCCTCAACCCTCCCACGAAAGCGACGCCGACATTCATACTCCATCTCTCAAATACCGGGCCGCTCACAACTAGTGCATCGAAAGAGACACCCAAGCAATATAAATATTAGTAGGAAAATGGTCAACGATACAATTCAATACCTACAAACGCTATCTAACCGCATCTTGATCTCCGACACCATCCCCCCCCCAGGGAGTGGGCCACTATGCATCTCGCCACCCAATTGCTACAGAGCAGGTACGAAGAGATCATCGCGAGGAAAGAGATGGAAACAGACGCCGTGTCTGATTTTGATTCCCCACCAACACAGCCAGAAGAGAAGTGCCGGAAGTGTGCTGCTGCGGACGAGGAGCGGCTGTATGACTGAGACGCTCCTCGTTCTTATTACCTTGTCGGCTATATTTTGATAGCATAACTGGTCATTGAAAATTGAGGAGCAAATATAGTGTTATGTAACCAATACTCCATATTTGAGAACCTGTTAAGCTTCAAATCTATCAGTACATGACTAAGGGACTTTCAAGTGCGAAGACGGGTCGAACGATTTTGTGTGTGATGTTAGTCCATTCGACAAGCAAAAAATATATGTAAAAGCCAGCTGAATCTTGGTCTCCAATTAATGCAATAGAGATTAGAGAATCAGACAGCATGTGCCAGGCAAATCGGGGATGATGTTAGGACAGTCCCTTGGGGGCATCCTGGTACGATATGGATACGAGTGAAGAATGTGAGATGTGCCTGATATGGGTATGATGATATTCAGACTAATCGCTGGTCTTCTAAGAGGATCCGGCTCCTCCTTTTTAGGGGGGGGTTCTTCTGTGCGTACGCAAGCAGGTAAGCGAGGTGATGTATCAACAGGCGGCTCTGGTGGTGCATAGACACCTCCTCCACATTCCCTATACCTCCTTGTATGGTTGACGTAACAGCTTCAGTATCTACTAAGGAGAATCTTCGGCGTGCCAAAAGCGCGCTCCTCAGGGGGAGAATGCTTGACCCTCTGAACCTCATCCGCTAGGAATTGGGGGGCCCGCTTGTAACCCACGCTCTCGGGTGTCGCCGAAATCACTCACCCTCATGAAACCCCATAGGATCCTCACCAAAAGTGATGATCAAATCGACCCCTTGGAAAGTAAGTACTACCGATCATTCGCCGGAAGGCTAATGTATGCAAGTACTTTCCCAAGACCTTGTCTATGTCTCTCACCCCTGTCTATCTCTTTCACTAGCAATCCTTGCAAGCTTAACCAAAATCCTGATAAATTCCGCATCTTATGGGCCAAAGGGAAAACAGCATGTCGGACACCTGAGTTCAACAACACCTTTTTGATTGGATGCATGAGAGCACACATTCATTTGGTTTCCCGTATATAAAGTGGGCCAAATTTGCGCCTCTGGCATTGTAAACACTGAGTATCGAGCATTGAATTCAACACATTGACCCGATATCTCAACCTGCCCTCAACATGTCGGCCATGCAAAATGGCCTCACGAGCCACATGGGCAGGCCAGTGGCGCCAGGGCGCCTTATGGGCCTGATAATTGGTTCCGCTTGATCTAATTTACCTTGAATAAATACTAGTCCATACACTTTTAGATTGTTCTGATAGAACTCACCCACCACATTTCCGTGCATGATATATTTCGATTGACGAACGGGGAAACTTCGGAGGCTTCGTTAAGCGATACAAAGTCCTCGTAAAAAGCTAAGTTTAGACGTAAGATGTGCTTCGCACGACATCCCCCCAGTTTGTCTCTAGATTTATCAGACCCGTCGCACGAAATTTGAAACAGCTAGCCTTCGTAACTGGATGGCGATGGAACTCTCTTTACGCACTTCAAAGCCCATCCGGATATTTCTTTTACGTATGGCGTGTTTAAGGAAGGATGCGTCCTAATAAGGCTAGTGCTTTGATCTGACTCAGCTCTATGCATCCATGTCAGAATATATATCTACAGGATTGACGCAGTCAGCGTCTAGACCTGGAAATTATTAATTCAGATTTTAACTGAAACAAAACTTAGTGGCTAACCTATCTTCGCCAAGACCCGTACCATGGGTTTGCCTAGAATAAGCTCGGCATGCCGACAACTTCCCGCCCGAGACACTGATGTTCTCATCCGTCTTGGTCCGGAATCGCGCTAGCGGTGCAACACTGCAACAAGTTGGGACATGTCGATCAACTTGATTTAAAAAGGACTCCCTTTGCCTTCAGTTCATAAATCTCTCGTTCGTTTTTATTTTCATTTACGCGTGCCACTCCTGCTGAACATTCTTTTTTCAAATTACAAAATGTATCTGAAGCACTACATTGCAGCATGCCTTTTTGTCCCGGTCGCCCTCGGTCACGGGAATTCCCCTGCCCGCTCTGTGGATCCCTTCAAGGTCTTCATAATCTCCGCCCACAATATCACGGCCAAGTTCATTCCATACGGAGCGCGCTTGATCTCTCTGCTAGTTCCAGACAAGAATGGCAATGAGCAGGACGTTGTGGTCGGCTATGACAATCCCCGTCAGTATCTGGAAGACACCGAAACCAACCATACCTATTTCGGAGCCGTCATTGGCCGCTTTGCCAACCGTATCAAGAATGGCACTTTCGAGTTAGACGGAACCGCATATCACATTCCCAAGAACCATGACGGCCTGTACACGCTGCACGGCGGAGACATTGGCTATGATCAGCGAAACTGGACTGTGGTTGCATCCACACGTTCCTCTGTGACGTTTGAGCTCTACGACGCTGCATTCCAAGGCTTCCCAGGCGACGTCAAAACACGGGCTACATACAGTGTCGACACCAAGGTCACAGCTGAGAACCCGCAAGGACGTCCCCGGCTGACGACCAAGATGGTCTCCCAGGCTCTCAATCACTCCACTCCAATCATGCTCTCCAACCACATCTACTGGAACCTGAATGGTTTCCAGCAGCCGACTGTTCTCAATAACACATGGCTGCAGATGCCCCTGTCTGAGCGATTCATCGCCACGGACAGCATTCAAGTCCCTAACGGAGACATCTCGACTGTGGATGAGACCGATCACCAGACAATGGACTTTACTGCCGGCAAAATTATCGGTCGCGACATTCAATACACCCAAGGTCTTGTTGGCAGTGACGTGGGATACGACAACTGCTTTATCATTGACCGTGACTCGACCTCTGCCCAAGACGCACTTGTTACCGCTCTCCGATTGAACTCCAGCTCCACAGGAATTAGCATGGATGTTGCAACCAACCAACCTGCTGTGCAGTTCTTCACCTGTCTCAACATGGATGGAACCATTCCTGTGAAGCGTTCTCAGGTTAAGCGAAACTCCAAAATTGAGGGAGCTGCAAGATTTGTTGAGAAATATGGTTGTCTGGCGATTGAACCCGAGGGCTGGATTGATTCTGTCAACAACCCACAATGGGGCCAGGAATCCAATGTCATCTACTCTCCTGAGACCGCCCCTGCCGTGAACCTGGCCACATACACCTTCGGAACTGTTTGAGATATGTTTGTCATCATGCATTCGATCCTAGTCTTACTGGCTTTTTTGTTAATTTTAATGGTTTGCAATTTTGAAATAAATTGAATTGCCTTGCAATCTCCATTAACCTAATGTTTCTAAACGGGTTGACTTCGTATGGCGTAGCGGCTCCCTAGAGTTCAACATTCACATGTTTGCTGCTCGTTGGGGACGTTTGTTTGACAATAATAGGAGTGGTTCCTCTATCTAACTTGCGTTTCAAGGATTTCCCACGTGCTGCGAATAGAGTAAATGAACTGCTGATCGGCCACTGTAGGTACCAATGCACGGGTTAGTCTATATTCTACCCAGTCCACTGGGACAACAAAACTCATTTCCATGCATAATAAATCATAATCTTTACCTCTACTTATATTATTGGTCTTCACCCAATCCAATAGGTTTCATGCACCCAGTTAATCTAGATCATTCACTCCTAACCAGTTCCAAAGGAAGCCCAACCGTTATACCCACAATAAGTGGGTCTGGGCTAACTTGTGAGGATCTACAAAGTACTGGCAGCCATTTAAATTATTGAAATGACACTATCTATTTATGGCGAGTAGCTTTTCGCCCCATCCTATTTAGTAATTTTGTTTTGCCCCTGGAAATTCTTTTTTTAATATTTTCTAACAATCTTAAATCTATAAGCCTAGTACAAACATGTATACACGTGAAAGTAAATAACAACAGGAAATAACAAGGAACGGGGGCAAGGAACAGATGACCTCCAATAAAGTCAGGACATTATTGGGTGCGGAGTCCTCTCGCAAATCCAGAAGGGGGAAAGCAATTTCCAACTATTGGGATGATCGACCAAATCTCTCTCTTGCCAAAATGATCGTCCATACGAAATAGTCTAACTAAGGCTTCTTGGCGTAGTCCTCAAGAACAGCCTCGGCGATCCGCAAGGCCATACCGTAGAAAACGGTCATGACGTGCGAGGAGACCTGAGTAGGAGGGATGGAGCCGTCAATGACACGGAGACCCTGGGTACCGTAGACCTTGGCAGTAGCGTCGACGACACCACCAAGCTCGCGGGCCATCATGGAGCAGGTAGAGACAGCGTGCCAGTTAGGACGGAAGTTCATCAGGACGTAGTCCTCCCACTCCTCAACAGTGGCATCCTGGGACAGGTTGTCGCCGGGGATGGTCTCGCCAGCGTAGTACTTCTTCATCTCACCGGCGCTGGAGAGGTCACGACCCAGCTTGGTGGCAGCGGCCTGCCCGAGAAGATCCAGCTCGTTCATAAAGAACTTGGGGTCATTGGCGTATTGCCAGAGGTAAGGGTCGCTGCTGAGAATGTGGACGGAACCACGAGTGAAGGGGATAAGGTTCCAGATATCGAAGTTGATCTTGCCCTCGGTGTCGAAGAAGAGCTCGGCGAAAGCAACATCCTCATCAAGGAGCCAGTTACGGTAGTTCTCGTACTGGATCTTGAGGGCAGTCACGTTGTGGAAACCACCGCGGGCAACGGTCTCCTCAGCCCACTGGCCAAGCTTGGTGTTCAGCAGCTCAATACCCTGGGCAGCGTGGTCACCGAGAACCTCGGTGAAGTTGGCGAAGTAAGCGGCCTGACCTTGTCCAGGTGCGTTGTTGGCGCGGGAGCGAACAGTGGTAGTGGTCTGGTCTTGCATGTTGAGACCAACAGGGAGTTCGAGGATCCGCTTAACGCCGGCCTTGTCAAGGACAGACTTGGTACCAATACCGGAGTACTCGAGGATCAAAGGAGAAATGGCAGATCCGGCGGCCAACAGAACTTCCTGCTTGGCGTAGACATTGAAGTTAACAGCCTTGTTGGTACCGAAGTTCACACCAACAGCCTTAGGGCCAGAGGCGGTCTGGTTGAACAGAACCTTTCCAACCTTCTGGCCAGTCAGGATCTGCAGGTTAGGGCGCTCGTAGTTGGGAAGAAGTCATTCGCGAGCGGCATCAGCCCGGATCTGGTTCTCGTGGAGGTTGTTCGGGATCATGGAGACACCACGGGGGTGACCGCAGTGGAAATCCTTCTGGATGGGGACACCGAAAGCAGAGACGGTGTTCATGAGGGCTCGCATCAGTGGGGACCAAGGCTTGCCGTTGTCGCGAGGGCCGGCATGGACGGTACCGTTTGTTCCATGGCAGGCAGGCTCGTAGAAGTGACCAGCCTCGATCTGGGCGGCAGTGGGGGGGCGCGAGCGCTCAGCCTTCTTCATGTACTCGAACACGTTGTCCCAGTTCCAGCCTTCCATACCGAAGACCTTTTCCCATGAGTCGATCTGGACCTTGTCAGGACGGGTCCAGGAATCACCGTTGATCAAGGTTGAGCCACCAAGACCGAGACCAGACTTGATTTCTCCAGTTCGGTTGTTGATGAGGGGAACTGTGAGATAATTCTGATCCACAGTAGCTCCAAAGATCTCACCATAGGCGTTGGGGTCCTGGATGATCGGTCCATCGTTGGATTCGTAAAATCCCTTCTCAATCACGAGGACTTTGATCTTCGGGTTCTCGGTCAGCTTGGCAGCCACGGTCAGACCAGTCAAACCACCACCAGCAATGACATAGTCGTAAGTCTTTCCCTCAACCTTTTTGGGGTCGGAAAATAGGTGAGACTGGACATCGAGCTGCTCGGTCGGGGTATAAGCCTGGACGGCAGCCACAGACAAAAGAATGGAAGTGATAATAGTAGACTTCATGATGAGGCACAATGGCCCCGGGGGTCAATGTACATAGGAATGAAAGGAAAGGAATGAGTTGGTGTTCATAAAACGACGATCGGAAGCATCAAAGATATATTTTTGAAAGATTCGCGACTTCTGTTTCAGAACTATACCAATACCGAACTTCGAATGGTTGAATAAAACCCATAGAGGGCTCCACGAGCCCGTATATAACACGTGGGATGGTGCAATAGGGGTGAGCTATCAATCTTCAGTTCCAAAGAATGAAATATACCTGCTGATCTGCAGGATAATGTTCTGCACATCTTGGCAGCATGGTGCCTTGGACCGGTCAAACTATATTCATCCTAACTTTCATGCACCGGTGTCCTATCTGGGAGAAATAACAAATAACCGACCTCGTGGGTGTACCTGTGCTAAAAGCAGACATTACCTTCCCTGAGTGGCGGGGCCTTCAACAGCCCAGTGAGAAATCGAATCCTTCTGCTCTCCTTCTGTGCATATCGTTAAGTTGGATACGAGGAAGTGGGTCTTCCTGACGTTTAATGTCAGCAGTAGATTACCATGCCAATTCATACTATGCCCAGGTACAGAGTTCCAGGGGTTGAACTACATTAGTCGTGTTGTATGTAAATCTCGAATCCGAGGTCTGAATTGGAACTGGGCGTGATAGTATATGGACTGTATAATTATTGATTTCAGTATATGAAGAGTAGACTTTTGAAACGCCATAGAACTGCAATTTCCTTCTGAGAACCTTGTTAACTAAAACAGCGAAGGCAACTTCTAACCTTGGAAGTCATGTAATATAATTCATGAAGCATAATTGATAAGGAACGTCCGAAAATAGACCGAAGATGAAAGTCTCGCCCATGAATGCTTCGTAATTCGAAGGTATTCTCCGGTCTAGGCCTCGCTCTGGGCCTCTATTTGTTACCAATCGGCATCGTATTTGATTGAGTTCATTTTCGGCATGCCGAGAAGGACGAATGTCGTCAGAAACTCAAAACTGCATTGGCGCCAAGAGTGGAAACTCGCTTCCGGGAACCTTGTGCGCCATGTGCGCGATAAGAGACATACCCTATCAAGTTTACACTGCCTCAAACAATAGGAATAATCGTGCCAAGCCCACCAACACCTACTACCTGGTGTTGGTGGGCTTGGCACGATTACAAGGGGGAATTATACGTCTTAAGATGAGTGAGTGGAACGGTGGCGAATTCGTTGATTTCCATATTGTTAGGGATAGAAAAACTGTCAACCTCCTCCATCTCTTCATTCTCAAGCCTTGCCATCCAACTACCAGAGCAGAAGAGCAGAAGAAACAGATCCAATGAAGACGATTTTTCTATTTTTTGCAGCCTCCCTATTGGGGCACACTGCCCTTGCTACAAGGCTTTATGCGGCATCGTACGCTGGTCTTGTCACCTCATTGGACCTTTCCAAGTCCAATGAGCTATCTACACTCTCCCAGACAACTGAGTGCGGTAGCAACCCCTCTTGGTTGATGCTGGATAGTCCCAATGGTGTCTTGTACTGCCTCGACGAAGCAATCAATGCCCCCAATGGCACTATCACAACCCTGAAAACTCATCAGGATGGGACACTCACCAAGCTTGCGCAACTGAAAACTCCCGCTGGCCCTGTCATGTCTGCCATGTACTCGGCACCTGGGGTCTTGGGACGCAAGTTCCTTGCTGTGGCACACTAGTAAGTTTCGATCGAATCCCTAGAGATAGTCGCATGCCATGTGGTTCGAGCTGCTGACTTTGTTCTGGTATTATAGCTCAGGATCCTCTGTCACGACGTATTCCGCGGACCCTGTCCTCGGACTTTTCAAGCATGAACAAACCTTCACATACCAGATGGCCGCTCCTGGTCCGGTTGCCGCTCGCCAAGATGCCCCCCATCCCCATGGAGTAGTTGTCGACCCTACCGGACAGTTTATCCTTGTACCCGACCTTGGAGCTGATGTCGTCCGCGTCTTCTATGTCAACCCATCCACAGGTCTTCTTGAGCAGATCGAGCCACTGGCCATGAACCCAGGATCTGGACCCAGACATGGCGCATTTTGGACTCCCCGCGGATCGAGCAGCACATCTTCAGACGTCTACTTTTACCTTGTGCAGGAGCTGAGCAACGAGTTGAGTGGTTTCCGGGTCAAATATTCAGGCAACGGAATTTCGTTCCGCAAAATCTTCGAGGGAAGCACGTATGGCAAGGAATCTTCTCCCGCTGGCACCAAGGCCGCAGAAATTGCAATCTCGGTAAGTCTCGGGTGTTGCACCCTGAGATATTGTCCAAAGTGGTTCTTCGGCTAACATGGTCTTGCCCCAAAGCCTGAAAACAACCGTATCATCGTCTCCAACCGTCTTGATAACACATTCGGCCCGAAGGAAGACTCCTTCGCCGTGTTCCTCTGCGCTGACCCTAGTGGAAAAGAGGCCGAGAAGGTTTCCTTCCTTGGGTTGTACCCAGCCTATGGCTCCTCCCCTCGCCACTTCAGCATCGCACCTACCCAGACTATGGTTGCGGTGGCATTGGAAAGCAGCCAAAGTGTTGCCGTGGCTCAGTGGAACAAGCGCTCCGGGGCTCCTGGAACCCTTCTCGCAGGAAAGAAGCTGGATGGAGAAATTCCGTCTGTTGTCTGGGATCTGTAAATTGCCTGTCGGGGGACTTTTCATGGGACCCCGTTCCGTCCTGAGTTGAGTTACTGAAATTTTGAAAGAAATGCTACTTTAATGTATTTTATATTTATGGCTGGCAGCATACGTATTAGGATCTGTGTCTTGTGACAGAAATAAGTGACCAGTATTGCATTGCCGATTGGGTTGGCCGCTGCGAAGAGTTTGCTCGATCACGTTCACAAACCGCTCTCCCAACCCGCGACTGATCACAATATCTACACGCTTGGGAGCCTGAGTGGGCTTAATGTAGCAGTCGTCTGCCTACCTTTTGGTGTTTATGTGACAACTTCTGCCACGTCAGCGGTGACTCAAATGAGGCAAACCTTCCCCTCTATAAAGTTCGGGCTGATGGTCGGAGTGGGAGGAGGGGTGTCTAACAAGAATGTTGATATCTGTCTAGGTGATGTTGTCGTCAGCACGCTCACGGGGACATATGGTGGTGTGGTCCAGTACGACTATGGGAAAACGTGTCAACAGGGCTACTTCCAGCGCACGGGCTTACTCAATAAGCCACACGAGTCTACTGGCGGCTGTCTCGCAGATACGCTGCAACCATATGCTGCAGGATTTGCTGCCTGGCAATATAATGTCCGATGTTTTGCGGCATCGCAGCCAATTTTCCTCACCAGGCAAAGACTGGTTATTCCTCTCGACATATGAGCACCAGGGGGGTGGTGCAGACTGCTCGTCATGCGACAAAACTCAGCTTATCTCGCGTGGAGCACGCATGAGTGCCGAGCCACAAATCCATTATGGCCTGATTGCGTTTGGTAATCGGGTTATGAAAGACGCTCGAACACGAGACTCTATTGCCGAAGATATTCCCGTACTCTATTTTGATATGGAAGCAGCTGAACTTATGGATCAGCTCCAATGTTTGGTAATACGGGGGATCTGTGACTACTGCGATTCCCACAAGCACAAAGAGTGGCAGGGCTATGCAGCTCTTGCTGCACTGTTATCAGTTCTTCCGCAAATGAAAGTCATAGAGATGCCAGATCAAGGTATGCGGCTATCACATCGCAGAATTCCCATCAACTGGCCGTCTTGTAGCCGCTGATTTTACGGAGATGGCAAGAAGGTGTTTGGCAAATCTGTTCATCACTGATCCCAATGAAGACATGAACTCATTGAAACGGAGAAAAGGAAATCGCACCCCAGGGACAGAGTAGCGAATGCGACCTGGTCTAGTGGTGATGATCCGAAAGCATTCGAGCCAAGCCATGAAGTCTTACAACTCTGGAAACAGGTTGCTTCCGCGCGTACTGGAGGAGGTGATCTTGAAGTTGAATTTGACCTTCTCTGAGGTAGAAGTTTCATTCAATCCTGCAAAGCGTTTACACCGACATCAATATCTGCAAGTCGCTTTAGGAACAAAGTGGCTCTACAATGAGGATGAATGGTGGCAATCTGTGCTTAATCCCTTGACTTCTTCCCGATGATCATGCTGCAATTGACAACCCACAAAGAGCCTGCGCTGTAACCCGGTACAATTCACAAATCAATGAGAATATGGAGTGAACGCTATGTATACTTCCAATCTGGCTTCTATTGTATATAGTATTATTATCTTACAAGAAAGAATTCATATTCGAGTATTGCCAGTATCCCAAACTTGAGCTATTGCGCCAGTACAACAAGGTAAATCTAAGACGAGACACCGATGCAGTAAGCTTTGTTCAACCAGAAACTGTTTTCAAAGAACATTATTAGTATTCCACCCAAGTGAACCAGAAGGGTTCAACAACTTACTTTTAGCAAGCATTGTTCAAAGCCGGATTCCAGGTATCTATGCGAATGGTCAACGTCGAGCTTCAACATTATTCCGTAAATGGAGTCTACTCACAAAGCTGATCAACTGTGATCTTGTTACGAGAAGCGAACACTTCGCATCCATCACCGTCCTGAGCCACATCGTATGCGTTGCATTCAGAGGGAATTCCTGCCTGGGTTGGTGCTGGTGGCGTCATAGTTGCTCGGGTAGAGGTAGTCACCGCAGTAGAGTGGGTCGTTATAGCAGTGGTGGGGGCTTTCACACAGTATGCTTCATCTACAAAGGCCGGCGCAGTTTTCTGTGATTTTGTGTGAGTACAAGGTACTTATGTAGTCGGCAGGGATAGAGGGTGATTCGAGAATATTTACCTCCGACAGCCGGCTTCCATGTGTTGAACTGGGCAAGTGTGATGCTATATGCTGATGCAATCGCCGTGCAAGAGTCGTTTGTCTGAGCCATGTACCACTCCAGGCAATGGGCAACAATGCCAGACTGCGTCGGGGCAGGGGGGGCCCCGGCGGAAGAAGTTGCGGAAGTGCTTCTCTGATCTTCCAAACCATTAAAACCCGTAATACAAATACAAAATAAGGACATAGATAGAAAACTTCGATAACTCCTTACATACAATCCAGCCAGTTCGAAGACAGTAGCTGGAAAAATACCGTGTTCGAGCATCCCGTCTATACCAAGTTATTCCTCTCCTCGTCCTCGTCATCTAGCTCCAAGATATCGGGTTGGACTTTGTCCCATTTAACATCTAACATCGAGTAGTTTATCACCCCTATACTTGCCACAAAGAAACCAATTGTTTGCAACACTGAGACTGTCTCCCGCCAGAACCATATCGATGCCACAATAGCCATCATGGCCTTCGGTACACCACAAATAGCGAGAGTAAGGGAAGACGTCTCGCTGATCAGGAACACGGAGGAAATATTGAACAGAAAGGCCAACACACCATTGCAGAGCAGTATCCACAGCCCAGTATTGTAAACTTGGTCCAGCGAAAAAGATGATCCTTCAAAAATAAGTGCAAACAGGAGGCAAAATGCGGCACATATTGGGGCAAAATAGTATAAGGAGAGAAGGGGGTTCATTCTGATCTGGTTGCGCGAGAGCAATTTCTCCATAAGTGTCAGTCGAACGGCCTCGAGGACAATAGCGGCATATTGTATGAAGACGCCATTGGTATCAAGGCGAATCTCCCCGTAGCAGGAGATCATCACTCCGAAGCATATAACAGATACGACCATAAATGTGTTAAATGTGATCATGTATAAACCAGCCAGCCATCCAGCGAATAGTACCATAACCGGACCGACAGACTTGTCTCCTATTAGCGGCATTCCCATGATCCATATGAGGGGGACTACCTTGAACATCTGTATGAATGCCACGTTGAGATACATGAGCGCGATATTATTGAAAATGAGATTCAGGCTGAAAAGGAAGCCGATAGGAATGATATAGCATAGGTAAATTCGACTCGATATCGGCACTGATTGTGATTGGTCGGTGATAGCAATATTTCGTACAAAGACCTGCGTTCCAAGTGCAGACAAGGCGAGATGCCAAGTAGTAAGGATCATGGGGAACGGGAATGTGTTGAGGATATGCTTGTTGACAAGAATGACAGACGCACTGAGGGTTGTCCACAACCTAATTTTTTTATATTTTTTTTTCAGCGATCTATCATAATCAAATGGCTTCAGTCGAAATACAAGACTGAAAGGGTCTTGTATATTGGGTTTACTTACAGCGCGTGAAATAGAGGAATAGCAGGTTTAAACAAAGTGAATAAACCCATGTTGTAACCCCTTTTGAACGGTGGTGTGTCAAGCAGATACTGTTATTATACTGCCGATATATTTGGGGATCAGGTAAATGATGTTGAGTCGAGAGATAGGGAGAAATCTGATCAGTCTTCCTAAGTAATCCGGACGTACGAATTTTATTTATGTCCTTCGTGCGCGACCCTATGGTTTACCATGTGGACCAGGAGTCTATTTCATTATTACGCGATAAATTTTCTGAACTCGCATCCACTTTTCTTCGAGTGGACTTTCTATCAATAGCTATCCCAGTGGGGTTGAAAAACGGTTGCTTAATCCAGTTTTTTGGGGATAATTTTCCCGGGATTCCACAACCCCTTTGTTCCGTCGCACAACTCGTGGATCCTCCAAAAAATGATATTCCTGATGCGACCGCCGATTTTCCTTAGGATAAATCTCGGTCTGGTTCCAAACATTACCAGCAGGATAACTACGGGGCATTATTGCATGCTAATTTAATGGTGATTCTTGCTGAAAATTCCACCTCGTGCCATACTATTGGCAATTGGTACAGCACGTGTATCGTGACGAGAACAATGTCGTCTGTGTTAGGACAGTCCCCTGGGGGCGTCCTGGTACGATATGGATACGAGTGAAGAATGTGAGATATGCCTGATATGGGTATGATGATATTCAGACTAATCGCTGGTCCTCCTAAGAGGTTCCCGCTCCTCCTTTTTAGAGGGGTCCCCTGGTGCGTATGCAAGCAGGTAAGCGAGGTGATGTATCAACAGGCGGCTCTGGTGTTGCATAGGCACCTCTTCCGCATTCCCTATACTGGCGTAACAGTCTGCTTCGCTCGCCAGTGGAAACATTCGCCATGGCAGATTATTTTTCATCTTCACGATCCAAATAACTTTTCATTCTTTGAAGATCTTTTTGGATAAATATCCTTTCGAAGTTCTAATACGTATCGCTGTACGGTCCAAAAGTTGCTTCGTGTAATTGGCAGAACCTGCATTTCGCAATGGATAGTCAATGCAACTGTTATTTTAATAATAATTTCTGTTCCATGGCTAACTGCAGATCGCTGTTACGCCATTTGAAAGGCATTTGAGACAATTAAGTGCCGGGTAACATTCTGACCTCCACTAGGAGTCATCTCACGTGGAGATATATCATCCCATTGGGCCACCGCACTCTCCTCGCCTGAAATCAGGTGACGGATGTTTAGCATGGTGCTGTAAACAATGCCGCTTGACCAAGCTTTATGCCAGCTGTTGTCAATAGATCCTATATCGGAATCCTTGCTGCTGGGGCCAGCCGGACGCCAAGTACTGACGATCTGAGGATATGGTGCAATGAAATGAAAGTCAAACCCACTTTTATTTTTGCACATGGTCCCATATGCCAAATCAACTGGTTCGTTGAGGGGGGACATGGAGAGTGCGGCCAAAACTTTCTGGGCTGCATTGTAGGTTATTGCATAACCGGCCGTGCAGACACCATAATCTGCTTCAAACACAAGACGTGTAGAGGGTGGTATATCCGGCCAAAATTCTGACTTTGGGCCGTAAAAGTCACCTCTGTGACTTTCTGGCCTGACAGTTGGGTCGTTCCGAATCATGTAAACCCGCCGTTCGTCATGACGAGTACTAACCGCACAATGTCCGATCCAGAGCATGTCCCAGTCGTCGCCATAGGGAGATATGGAGACATCGCTTGTGTTTTGTAGAGCACGAGCACCACGGGCAAATTCAATAAGCTGACTTTTGAGTGACACATCCCAATCAACGTCATCTTCGAAGATGAGTGCGGTCGCAATTTTGTGGGACACAATGCTGTTTTATGATCATAATCAGCGAATTTCACACGGCAGGTATTGAAAACAACTTCTAAAGGGTCACTGACAAGTCTATAACATTCATGTGAGCGCGCCAGCAGCCAACTTCTAAAGGCTTGGTTCGGTTTCTCTCCCAAGACTCCGCAATCATCAGCATATCATCAAAACAAAGATATCTCTGGAGACAAACCGAGGGATAGGATTTATCAAGCATCTGATCCGGATTAACTGCTTCCATCCAATGTATAGAAAAACCAGAAACAGATGATCCCATTGTCATAGCATCATGTTTATCAGTCCTCCCTGGAAAACCAATCGCGAATACTTTTCCAAACTTGTGCTTCAATTAGCCATAGATATCGAAACATGTAGGATTTGTTTAGATAGAGAAGTACAAACCCCTAAGCTCTGATACTTGATATCAGTCAGCTGGTCGTCTATGAAATTGGTTTTGTAACCATCAGTGCTGGCAGAAAACCCATAATACACAAAGCTCCAACAGAATATTGCAATTAGATAAAATGCTCCCAAGATTGCAGTAACAGTGCGAGAGGAAATGGATGAGTCTAAAATTCTCATTGTAAGAAAGGCTTGATCGAGTCACATGACAGGAAAGTAGACAATGAAAATTTTACCATTTTAGGCCTGCATCAAATCGTACAACAGTAAAACGGATAACCACCTTTTTTAGGCTGTCTCGTCCCACCACTATGCTCCGTCACTTTGAGTCACTAAGCCACCACAGTAAGATAATAAAAATCCATGTTCTATTTCATGTTGAATAGACAGGGACTTCCAGTCGGGTCTTCTGTATTGGTGCTGCCTATAAGTGCTCCATTGTTCTAGCTTTTATGATCGAAACACGAAGTGTTCAAGTTTTCAACTTTGCCATCTACAATTGTTGCCAGTGTCATGATATGCTTTAGATATTCAATCAACTAGTAGATTGTGTACTCTGCGATGTATAGCCGTCAACTTGGTGTACTCTGACACTGAGATGTTTGGACGTTGCAGCCTAAATATAGAAATAAAAATGTTAACGGTACCATCGCTGGCTTTCCATGGCCCTCAAAAACTAGGAGATCAAAGCGGGTCCGCAAATCAATAGTAACGGTGACCCAAAAGGGATATTTGGAGGAGCCTGGGAAGACTGTTCGACGAGTCCGCCTACAGAGTTCCTTTCTGGCATTGGGATAGTACATCGGCTATCTCTATCAGCTGTATGCCATGAACAGCACCGTCACTTTATTCAGGGGGAACACCACTTTTAGAGTGGCAAGTCTATGCTTGTGGAAGAATTCCTGTACCAAACATGTTTGACCGAGGTTCTGAGGACGGCAGGTCCCACTTGAAATTGAGACTGCTCCACAAACAGATCGTTTGAATTACGTAGATCCTAGATGAAAAACGGTCCATCATTGGCTAAAAGGCTGCCTAATTGGGAGAGGCGGCGAGGAGAGCTCTGATTGGCTGTGTCATTTCCATCTTTCGGGTGGTGTAATCAAAGGTCTGGTCTGGATGTGGGTTTGCATTGTGCTTATCGAGGAGCCGCTAGTGGTGGTGCTCGCCATAATTGGGGCTGGTAAAGATTCTGAGAAGGGAGAGAAAGTAAATAGAGAACATGAGGTTCATAGGTGTCAGATGTAGTGCTATGGTCAAGAGATAAGCCAGATTGTAGTGCTTGTGGATTGGAGAGCTGCATGGGTTGGAAACGAAGGGGGGAAACGACCACAGAAATACAGCTGGACCAAAAATGGGCAAGACAATATATAGTCAACATTGTCGACGAGTACATTTTTTAAGATTAGCTAGAGAAAAAGTTCAAAATATTTTATTTGGAGTGCAACTTAGGTATCCCGGATCTCCCTTAATTGACGCCATTGTGTTTCTGTTGAGAGCAAAGCTACAAACTGTAGATTTCAATGAATAAAGAGGGGCCATACAATACAAAGTTCACTGTTTCGTTCCTTTCTCCCCAGAGCATCTGCAGGCTCGATTGTCTTCTATATTTCGTCTAGTTTTGACTTCTTGTCATGCCTCCACGATCCTCGGAATTTGTGCTGTACGAATGCATCCTCCGGAATCGATCCGTCATTTGTACTGTTGGAGTGCGACTGGCCCATCCCAAACCCATCGATTGGCAGTATCAGGATATCCCCCACAAGCCTAGGTTCGGTCAACCCGCTCAGGTCGCTCAATGACCTAAGATCCGGCTCAAAATGCTGCAACTGTCGGAAGACCCCAAGCAGATGGCCCAGTCAATTTCATGACTTCCGATGAACTGACATGGAGCTCCGAGAATGTTGTTTCTCTTGCGTTCGTAAAGACTTCTAAGGCCGCCACAACCCAATCGGCCATGTAGCTGAAAAGAGGATGTCCAGGGGTTGCAGCAATAGTCCACTGGCAAAATTGCATGTCAGGATGAACCTCGCCCCAGTTAGACCCACCAAGACGATCAAATTCAACCCCTATAACAACTCGAGCATCTTTTTGATATTTTTCAGGCATCCACAACTCAATGGGCTTCAAGTTGACGGTATCGATATCTGAATAGACACCGCCTTTGACCGATAAAATCAGGTACCTCAGCAGGTCTGACTTCATTCCGGTGTTCTTGAGCTCTTTGAAGATTCTCAGCAAAGTTGTATTTCTTTGAAAGTGCTGGCGCACAAGTGTTTCTGCTCCTTCGTCTCCAACCAAGGTGTATTCGTAGTCCCGGTTATGAGCCAGCCAAGAGACGGCGTCGGATAGCTGCTTAGGATTGACATCCAAACTGCTTTTGTTGACATTCGGTGGGCTGAGATATATCTGCCATATATATCGTGGAAATAAAGAAGACCAGTCCTGAGTAGGAAGCACTTGATATGTTTCGCTGATTGTGCTTGGCTCTGTGGGACGTTCGAGGAGGGAATAACGAAGTAGGCTGGCCACCACAAACAATCACAAAAAGATCAATACCCCAACTTTTAACACATGGTTCTGAAGGCTCGAAACATGAAAAAAGCTTGCAAAGCCCACCACAAAGGACCAGTAAATTGAGAACAAAGGTTCTAACCGCTCTTTGAACATCTTGCCGAATCGGTGCAGAATGAGGCCGTGGAGAGCAAGGTCGAAAGATGTGTCAAAGATCACATACAGATTCTTCTCGATATTTTCAGACTCATGGGGCAATTACATGCTTCCAGTAGGCCCACACTCCAAGAATATCACGGAAGACCTGTACGTGGGTTAAGACAAAACTGTGCGGCCCACATAGCCATCACGGCCAGCCGGCGAGAAACAGGTGAAGAAAGTCGGGCCATTCGCCTGCGCTAGCCACCCAAGAGCCGGACTAGAATTGGCTCAATAGTGGGTAAGTCTAATTTAAGAGAATGGATTTTATAATGTCATCAAAAGGAAGGAAAGAAAATGCCGGGTCGGATTCTAGGATCCTTGAGATGCCTCGGTCCCTTCGGGTCCTCGGCACGGGCAGATTAAGGATTCTTTGAATCACCAAACCGTGCCTACGATTTGTTCACTAGGAGTCATGGACTAGTCTTCCCAGCCTCGCTTTAGTATTGGTTGTGTTGAGTTTAAAATATATCTCAACACGTGTTCATCACTAATGAACTGCTGGATACGAAATGTATTATTAGCTCCAATGACATCGCATTTTACCTACTCAAGGCATCTCAAGTCAGCAAATAACATATCTTGAATGACACAGTATGTACGCATTGTTTCTTTTTCAATTGATTATCTGGTCAGTGAACAGAGGCTTGACAAATGACGCCTATAGAAACCGAAATCAGTCATTATGCTATGATGAATGTAGTGACCCTTTTACCACGATCACAGAGGCATACAACGGCCGTTGATGGGTGACCAGATTGACCAACGTGCACAAAGGTCATATACTTGAATAGTTGGGATCTGATCAACGCTGTGAGGCTTGATCATACTCCCCCGACCAACTCGTTGATTACTATCACTACTATCAAATGAACTGTCAACAGCCTGCTGAAAGTTGAACAAATCAAATCTGACTCGTTGGGGGACTTATTGTGGTGATCGTGACATTCCGTGTATAGTCTCCTGTGTCTGCATTGTCTATACGAGACACCAAGGATTGTTGGAAACGGTATTTGTTGGGGCTGCTAACTATGGGGAGAGAGAGAGAGAAGAGGAATCATGATCTATTCAATCTATCTAGAGCAGGGGATTTATACCCTGCCAAACAAAGAAAGGCTCAGTCTGCAAACAAATGGAGGCATCAATGAGATGACTAGACAAAGGCATCAATGGGATGACCGACATAGTCCAACACAGCCCCCCAGACTGAGCATCAAGTCAAAAAACATTCTGGTTTGCATAGTAAAATCGTCAAATAAAATGCAGTTTTCAAAGTATCGTATTCCGTCAATTTCGTCAATTTGTAACCTTCAATTTGTAGGTTTCTTCAAACCTTCTTCACCAAGTAATCTCTCATCCTTTCGAAATCAACCTTTGACAGTGCTTTTGTCAATGTATCTGCAGGGTTTTCCTTGGTGTCGATGAGTCGTATCTCGATCAATCCTTGCTTCATCGCATGCTTGACGAATTGGTATTTGACATCCAGCCATTTGGTGCCCTTGTTGAATGCGTCCTTCTTCAGGATTGAAACGGCGTTGTCGCTGTCAGTGCAAATCGGCACCTGGATTGTCGTATTTTCTAGATTCAGCTGCTGTAGAATCTTGACGAGATAGAGTGCTTCCCGTACTGCACCATCGAGAGCGACGTATTCGGCGATGGTGCTTCCTGTGGCGACGACGTCTTGTTTCCGTGAGCACCATGAAATTGGTGCGCCTGCGTAGTAGAAGATATAGGCTTCGGTTGACTTTCCATCTTCGCAGTCGTTGTACGAAGAGTCGACGAAGCCAACTAGGCTTTGGCTAGGATCCTTTGCGAGCTGAATTCCATAGTTGGGTGCTCCTTTCAAGTAGCGTAGAAGCTGGGAGAGAGCATTAAGATCTTCCTTTCTTGGATTGGCAGTCCTTCTCTGTAGTCGATTGACAGAGAAAGCAATGTCTGGTCTAGTCCTCATTGTCAACCAGCCCACCTTGCCAACGTCTTCTCCGAATGCTGCTTTCTCGCTCTGTGAAATGGCATCGTCTTCATTTTCTTGGTGGCCTTCTTGTTGATCATCCGATGTTGCTTCCTGGGCTGAAAAAGGCGTTTTGTAGGAAGCTTTCATAGGGAGATAGGTGGCAGAGACTCTTCCTAAGCTTGCTGTCTGTAGGAGATCTTCCACATAGGCAGCTTGATCAATGAAAATGGTGTCTTCTTTTCCATCTTCTTTTGATCTGGTGATGCTGGTTCCAAGAAATCTGCTAGGTTCTCCAATGACTTTGATCTTGAAACTGACTGTCTGTTTGAACCATTCGATGCTTTCTTTTGACGTAGAAGCACACAGAGTA